CACGCACACGCGCACGCACGCACGCACACGCACACGCACGCGCGCACGCGCGCACGCACACGCACACGCACACGCACGCGCACGCACCCGCGCACACCCACACGCACACGCGCACACGCGCGCACGCGCGCACGCGCACGCGCGCACACGCGCGCACGCGCACACGCGCACGCGCGCACACGCGCACACGCGCACACGCGCATGCACGCGCACACGCACACACGCACACACGCACGCACGCACGCACGCACACACGCACACACGCACACACGCACACGCACGCGCACACGCGCACGCACACGCACACGCACACGCACGCGCACGCGCACGCGCGCACGCGCACGCACGGCGCAGCAAGCGGCACGCACACGCACAACGCACACGCACACGCACACGCACGCGCACACAATACACGCAATACACACAATACACACACACACAATACACACAATACACACAATACACACAATACACACAATACACACAATACACACGCACGCACGCACGCACGCACGCACGCACACACGCACACACGCACACACACCACACACACACGCAAACACACACGCACACACGCACGCGCACACGCACACACGCATGCGCGCGCACACGCACACGCACACGCACACGCACACACACACACGCACGCACACACACACACGCACGCACACCTCGCACCCTACGCGCGCACACTCACCCAACAACCCCCTCGCCCACCCGCCCCCTGCGCGCGCCGCCAGCGCCATGGTGGGCGCGCCGCCCCCGCCGACCACCCTCCCGCGCCGAGCCCAGCCGCCCGCCTCACAGCCGCCGCCCTGCCGCCGCGCCTTCCCTGCCACCTTCCGCCCATTTCCCGCCTCCGCCATTCCCCCTCCCCGCCCGCCCGCTCGCCTGCCCGCCCACTCACCCACCGGCCCCGGCCACTCCCCCCTCCCGCGCGCCCGCCCTCCCGCCCGCCCCGCCCCGACCCCGACCCCGACCGATGGCGCGCGGTCCCTGCAACATCGGCGCCTTCCGCGCTCAATTCCGCGCTGCTTCCGTCCTCGCCAGGGCCGCGAGACGGCGGATGTCTACGGCTCCTTAGCCAAATGGCTGGCACCTGGCGCCGCGGGGGTTACCTGAGGCCCTGGCGCTGGGGGGGGCGGGCGCGCCGCCCCATGGCCAATCGGTGCCGAGGCCGCTGGGCCCCAGAGGGCTTTGTTTTGGAGGGGGCCAAGTGTTTTCCCCATGGGCCATCGGGACATCCTTCTTGAAACGTTTTTAACCAGGGCGGGGATGGGGGCACTCGGCCGCGCCTGGCCCCCCCCCCCCCCCTGTGAGGAGTCCGGCGGTTGTGGTGGTGGTGGTGGTGGTGGTGGCGGTTGTGGTGGTGGTGGTTGCAGTGGTGGTGTGCGTGTCTGTGTGCGCGCGCATGTGTGTGTGTGTGTGTGTGTGTGTGGTGCGCGCGCGCGCGCGCGTTAGCGTGCGTGCGCGTGCGTGCGTCGCCGCCGCCACCGCCCTGGCGAGAGCCAGCGGCGCCTTAGGTGATCCCCCGTGCCGGGCGCGCTCCAGGCGGTGAGCTTCGCGGATTGAGGGCAGCCCGTTTTCAAAATTTGGCTCTCGCCTCAGCGCCGCGCGCATGCGTTTGAACGGCGCATGAGTTTCACGGATTGGGGGCGGCTCTTTTTCAACATGTGGCTCTCGCCTTAGCGCCGCGCGCATTTTCCAAATGTGCAAGAGTTTCACGGACTCCCATGATCAATGTACTGGGGGCGCCTGGGAGCACCTGGGCGCGCAGCTCCTCCCCCCGCGCTCTCCAGGCCTAAGTGTCTAATCCTATAATTATTAAACCTTGATTACTGCAAAAGCGGCCCGTATGCAATCCGCCTCCATCTGCTGCAAAAAATAGCATGTCCTGAACATGCGCGCAGAATCTCTTGTATTTTACGTTACAAAGTGCCCAGTCCCCGTTGCGAGCCCCCTCCATCTATTGCAAAAATAGCATTTCCTGAGCATGCGCGCAGAATCTCTTGTATTTTACAATACAAAGTGCCCAGTCCCCGTTGCGACCCGGTTATGTAAACCCGCTCCATCTACTGCAAAAGATGGCATTTGCTGATCCTGAGCATGCGCCATCCTGAGCATGCGTGCAGAATCTCTTGTAATTTACAATACCAAATGCGACCCTCTATGTACACCGGCTCCATCTCCTGGACAACGTCGCCTTTTCCGCGCATGCGTGCAGAATCTGTAGCGCGTTAGAGCGCTCGCGTGCCAACTGGATCGCACATCCGTCGTCGCCGTCGTCGTCGTCGTCGTCGACGTTGCACTCGCTGTGGTTATACAGAGGTGAGAGATGATCTTTATGGTGGGGTGGCGTGCGGGTGGGAGTGACGGCCACCGCAGGTGGGTGCGCGGTCCAGGTGTACTCGTGGCCACGCCTAGTAGACCCTAAACCCTAAACCCTAAACCCTGGGGAGGATGGAGGAAGAGGAGGAGGGAGGAATAGGAATAGGCGGATGAGAAGGAGGAGGAGAAACAGAGGAAGAGGAAGAGGCACACGGCGAGCTTGGGGGTCTATTGGGGCGTCTTGGGGGCCTATGAGCGGTCCCTGGCGCCTAGAGCGTCTTGAGTGTCTCGGGGGGGCCTCGTGGGGCCTCTTTGTGGACTCTTGGGAGTCTTTTGGGGGGCATCATCTTGGGGCCTCCTTGGCGCCTCTTGGGGCCCTCTTGGGGCGCTCTTGGGGCGCTCTTGGGAGTCTTGAGGGCGTTATTGGAGCCATCTTGGAGGCGATCGATCAAACAAGGGGGGTACTTAATTCGCCCTGCCCTTCTAGAGTGCCGGAAGTCGCCTCTTGGACCCCTCTTGGGCCCCTGTTGGAGCGCTCTTGGGCGCTCGTGGGGCCGTCTTGGGGCTCTCTTGGGGCCTCTCTTGGAGCCCTCATGGGCCCTCTTGGAGCCATCTTAGACCTCGGAAGGCCATCGAAAGCAAAAAGGCGAGGTCTCCAACCTCATGGATTTCCTTAGGCTTTTGGCCACTTGGAACCGTCTTGTAGCGGTCTGGGGGCCTCTCGGAGCATCTTGGGAGCCATTTGGAGCAATCTTAGACTAGCTTGAGCCATTTTGGAGGTCATCTTGGGCTCTCTGAGATCTTCTTGGAGCCTTCTTGGTCCATCTTGGACGCTCCAACGCCTCTCGACCCCCCCCCCCTAGGTCCAGGGGGGGGTATGGGGGAGGGGTTAAGCTACCCACCCGCCCGCAAGCCGTCTAGCTCATTCCCACCCGCCCTGCTATCACATAAGTAACGCACGAGCCTGAGCATGTTCAGCGGTCGTCTTTGGATGGGCAGCTACTGGGAACCAACGCCGACCCCATGTGCATGACGCTTGGGCGAGGTGCGCCACGCGTGCCAGGGGCGGCACGTGCGCCAGGCACCCCTGGGGCCCGAGCGTGCCAGGCACGCCTGGTGCGCCAGATACGCCACGTGCTACGAGAACGCCAGGTGCGCTTCACACTCCAGCCGCGCCAGGTGCGCTATGTTCGGGGCGCGTGCAGAGTGCGTTAGGTGCGCCCGCGCGCGTGACAGCACACATCGGGAAACATGTCGCCCCCCGCCATTCTTGTCGAAAACCAATGCCCATCGTTGTGTCTGGTGGGCCTGCGCACAACCGGCCACGCGCCATCACCCCCGCGGTTCCTGTCAAAAACACGTTGACAGTGATCGCGGGATGGCCGCGCATGATCCAGATTTCGCCGCGAGGTGCATTTTTTGGGGGGGGGGAGGGGCAGGGATGGTTTCCCTGCGCGCGGCAGGGAATATGCTGGCACCCCCGCCGTCCCTTTCAAAAACACTGCGACGTGTTCGCAGGTGTCACGAACATGACTCAAGACTTTGCCCCAAGGTGTACTTTGCATGGTTTTTTTGACAGGGGTGGTGGGGGGGCGAATCGGGTCGGCCGCGCACGCTCCAAATGTGGAGGCAGAGTGCGGTTTGCTTTGTTTTTTGGGAGGGAAGGTGGGGGGCGGGTCGGCATGGTGTCCTCATGGCTCCTGGTTGGACGCCGGTCGCCTGGGGGAGTGGGTGTATTGTAAAAAGCAACAGTGATAAACCATTCCTCGGAGGGGAAGAAGGGGCTTTGGAAGAGAAGCCGCCCTAGACCACCTACGCCCAGAGGGCGGGTGGGATTTCAATCCGCCGACATATTTGCAACAGATCGGCCAGCGGGACCGGATTGCAGGGCTGATACCGCGCCACTCGCCGTACGCTACGGACTATGTGATTTCCCACTTCAGCGGCATATTTGCCACCACAGCCGCCGCTTTCGCAGTGTACGCCGTTGCCACCAAGGGGCGCGTCTACCTGGGCCGCGAGGTGGTCCTGCCTGGAATCTTGGCTGGGGCCCTGTGGGGCATCGCGCAGGTCGCTTGGTTCAAGGCCAACGGGGTGCTCTCGTATGTCGTCGCGTTCCCCATCATCGTGGGAGTGCCTGGCCTCATCGCCGCCCTCTGGGGCGTGGTGCTCTTCGGCGAGAACCGGGGGAAACACAACCTCTCCGTGCTGGGCCTCGTCGTCGCGGTGCAGGCCGTGGCCGTTTCGCTGATCCAGAAGGAGCCAAAGGGGTGGCACGAGCAGCGGCGTGCGGAGGCGTCCGCGGCTCCCTCGAGGCGGCGCCGGGCCCTCCTCCCCTCGGGCGCGCGCCGCGCGCCCGGGGGCAGCGCCGGAGGCGCCGCCAGGGCAGGGAACCGGCGCCGGCCCACGTCCGCCGGCGGGCCTCCGAGCCCAGCCACCCGACGGCGTGCTCCTGCCAGCGGGCGGCCCCAGGGGGCCCGACCCCCTCCTTCGGGCGGCTCCTCCTCCTACTCCTCCTCCTGTTCCTCCTCCTCCTCCCCTTCCTCCTAATCCTCCTCCCCTTCCTCCTAATCCTCCTCCTCCTCCTCCTCCTCCTCCTCCTTCTCCTCCTCCTCCTCCCCTTCCTCCTAATCCTCCTCCTCCTCCTCCTTTTCCTCCTCCTCCTCCTCCTG